GTTATGTAAGAACAAAATGTGTGTTTTAGTCATTTTCTTTCTTAAAAGGAACGATCTCGAAACGCTGACATAAAGAAATTGTTATTACAATATTCTAGTCGTTTTTCTTTTCTTGTTAGTCATACTACAACATCATAATCATAATCATTATGGATGTTCATTACATAACATACTATAACATCACGCCTTTTATCCCCGAACGGGTAGGCAGAGGTGCACATTATGCCACTGTACAATGTAACACCCACTTTTCACTATTTATGTTATGAGTCCCATGTAATAGGGGGTGAGCTTATTGCCATATACCGGGCACATTTCCAGACTCCGTGCTACTATTGAGATTTTTTTTTAAACTCAGTATTGCTTTGCTCGACCCGGGAATCGAACACGAGACCCCTTGCCCGACAGTCGCACTTGCGACCACTCGGCCAACGAGGCAGTCTCAGATCGATGTTCATAAGTTAAAACAGGGTGCTTACTCTTGAAACCAATCTCAATGTCAATGCAATTTCAATCCAATAAAATCTCAATAATTATTCAATGTCAACACTATACAACCACAATCGTAGCTGTTAAAATAGCATTCAGAGTACGGAGATTTTTTAGAATTGACATTGAGATTGGTTTCATTGCTATTGCTCACTCTCCTACTTTTACCTAACGCATGCTGAAAAACTCTGTTATTGGCTTAAGTTTCCATGCCTTGTCATTATTATAGATGTAGCATTTACTAAATAAGCTGTTGAGTTTTCTGTAATAAAAAATAATAATAAGAGTAAGCGCCGTGTTTAAGTTTATATACTCAAAGGGCATTGACTAAAATTGGTGCCTTTCTTTTTTTCTGGCGGCAGTCGACGATTTATGGAAAATATTATCTAGAATGTCATTACATGGGCTTACATATGGAAATCTCAGTGTGGACTGAGTTGAAAGGAGCTGGAGTCAAACATTTTACTTTGGTTTTTTATTCAAATTATTCATAGTTTTGCCACAATTTCTAACTTCGAATTGCGCGCCACTGTACTTCGGGTACAGGAAAACCATATCACGCCACTATATATTCATATTGCCAGGCACTAATGACAAAAAAAAACAAATAATAATAATAATAAAATAGTCTACAAAAAGCTTTATTACATTCCTTGAAATCGTTTATAATCATTTATTACATAATATTTCTGACAAGTAAATGAAGAAATATGCGTTGTGTACGGTCACCATCAACAAAATAACAGGAATAATATAGCACTATTTTCACATCTTTGAACTGATTTAACTCGGTTCGGACTGTGTTTTTGATATAAGACCTCATACATTTTTTTGTTTGTAATGTTATTCTGCATCAATTTTTCCACATTCGATCAACTGCCGCGAAAAAATGAAAAGGCACCACGCTCCATACAAATTTGGTCATTGTCATTTGACAATATTTTTAAATCTGCACTCGCTAGGGTACGCTTGGACCCTATAAGAGCTTTATTACAATTTATTTACCTAATTAATAATTCTTTTACAGTCCCGAAACGAGTACTGCAAAGGCGGAGAAGAGCCTTTGCCGCCAAATCTATACCGAAATGACATTTTGACTTGCTCAGCTGTCACCCTGACGTCTCCCGCCTTTTTAGTAACCGCCATTTTGAATTTGATATTCAGTTTACAAAAGTAATTATATTTTTTGTATATTTTATTTATTTTGTAGACCCATTTAAGTAATCGACTGTTCGCGTAAGATTATGTATTTTTTTGCAATTTTTTTTGTTAGGTTAGGTTATTTTTGGTCGATTTTTTGTTGATATAAATGCGGTGTATTGTTAGTTTTTTGGACTTTGAATTCATTTTGTATATTTCCAATATTTTTCAAGTATCTAAAGATAAGATTGGTGTTCCATGGGCGGCGCTGATCGCTTACTGTCAGGTGATCCAACTCTCGTTCAACTCCTATTCCGTCAAAAAAATCACATAAGATGTAATTAGTAATTGGAAAAGTAGTGAATGAATTCAAAATGTTTCTTTTTTTTATTTTTGACCCTGTCTCGTGTATTTGAGTCACCAACTTATTATAAAATCAAATTCCATTTTGTGCAACAAAAAATCGGCCGTACCTTACCTGTATTGATAAACAAACGTACTGTTTGATAAATTACTTAAAAATACATTAAGTATAATGCTACTTAAACGACATTTAATGCAATTATTTTTTTTTTCGAAAATAAAAAAAAATCAAATACTTAAGCACATGAAACTACCCAAAACTGTTTATATTTTTCAAAAGACTTTTAACTTTAATTCCTTTGCCATTCGGTCGAAAATCTATTGGACAGTTTGGGGTAGGTTGATGAGCTGGTATCTTGATAACGAACCTCCTGTCAAATTTATAGGTTATGTTGTAAAAAAAAAACTTAAACCTGTATATTTTTATACACAAACAGTTTCAAATAACTTATGGATCTGTCGATTTGATATTAGAAATAGAGTTTTGATACATTTTTGAATTTATATATAGAATATATGTTATATGTTCAGTACTACCTCTCCCGCGCGATTTCATTCTGCTTGGCTTCTTTTGGTCGTAGCGTGATGTTTTATAACTTAGACTTTTCCTCGATAAATGGACTATCCAATACAAAAAGAATTTTTCAAATCGGACCAGTAGTTCCTAAGATATGCGCGTTCAAACAAACAAATAAACACACAAACAAACAAACTCTTCAGCTTTATACAGAAGTAAACAAGATAAGATAAATATAAAGTATCTGTTGCCCGCGACTTCGTACGCATAATATATGATTCTTGTTTTATCACATGGGAGCATTTAATCCAGATAAAAAGTATTCTATTACCTAAGTCAGCCCATACCGTGCCTGTATACCAAATTTCATCAAAATGCGTTCAGTAGTTTCAGCGTGAGTGACGGACAAACATTCAAACAATGACATTTTCATATCTATACTAATATTATAAAGCTGAAGAGATTGATTTTTTGTTTGTTTGTTTGAACGCGCTAATCTCCGAAACTACCAGTCCAATTTCAATAATTCTTTTTGTGTTGGATAGTACATTCATCGAGGAAGGTTATAGGCTACAAAACATCACGCTACGATCATTACGAGCCGAGCAGAGCGGGTGCAACCGCGCGGAAGTAGCTAGTTTATAATAATAATTAATTGAAACAAGTTAATGTGTTTCTACAAAGCAAGCTCTTTTACACAATAGTGTGATATTCATCTCAAAACTTAGGCCACATTTGTTAACAACTCACAAAGGTGCGAGTACATCTGTCTGCAGCAAATATCAGTTTGTGTACTTGTATAGTTGTGTCATCACTCAGAACTGTCAGTAAATAGAGTGAGAGAGAGAGAGAGAGAGAGGGCGGGAGTGGGACGGACGTATATATATACACACGGAAAAACATACTTATGGCTTGTTTGTAAATATTTCACATCGATTTTAGGTTTAATTTGTACAGGTTTCATTGAAAATGTGTCAAAATTGTATTTTTAATCTTAAATCGGCTGACAGATCGGTAAAGCCAAGGATACATTAGCGGCCAAAAGTCTCACGATACGAAATATCTATACTAATATTATAAAGAGGAAACATATGTATCTATTTTTGTATGTTTGTAATGAATAGGCTCAAAAAGTACTGGGCCGATTTAAAAAAATCTTTCACCAATAGAATGCTACATTCTTCCAATTTGACATAGGCTACATTTCATTTTGAAAAAATTAGTGATCCTTGGTAAAATTTGAACAATGTAACCGAAGGTGTAGAAAAACGAGTCTTAAAATGTCTTTCGTCGAATGCGCTGCCGAAACTATTAGCGATAGAACAAAATAATGTACAACAATATTGAAGAACATCATATTCATAATGTCTACAAAAAACTCCGCGGTAGCAAATGTCCAACTATTGTAGTTATGTCACTACAACAATCCAAATTTCCAAAAATAAATAATTGTATACCCCGTGCGAAGCCGGGACGGGCTACTAGTATATTATAATATTGTAAGGCGACAACACGCGCCTTATGTCCACGTTTGATGTTTATTTATTTATGTATGTATTTAAATCCTCGTTGGCTGAGTGGTCGCAAGTGCGACTGCCAGGCTAGGGGTCTCGGGTTCGATTCCCGACATTGGTCCCCTACTGTATCCTTTGGCTTTATTGCATTGGTCTCTAGCTGTTTTTCATGTGATTTTGTGAATGTTAGAATTATAAGTTGCTGCAATATTTAGACTATTATTTTTATCTTTATAGATGATTTTGAGATGTGAGATTTGTTATCTACATATGAGAGCGAACAACCGGAGCCTTTAGCGATGTTTTCATTTTATTGAACCCTCTATTCCATTTCGTTTTACAACAAAACGCTCTAATTATAACGGTAACTAAATTGCCTTTAATACGACGTACATTACCAATTAGGGGTCATCCATAAATTAGATCACACGAATTTAATGTTTGTTTTGCCCCTCCCCCCGTCCTTGTCACAGCTAGTCACATTTGTGAGACTCCCCCCCCTAGTGTGACGTCACATTTTGCAGAATTACAATATAGAAACTATTGTTGTTTTCATTTCTACTTAAATTACTTTAAAAAATATTAATGTCAAATCAATTAACAAAATTAAAAACATTAATACAATTATATTTCGTATTTTAACGCAGATTATATTAGTTTTTGGAATGTGACATCACAAAGTTTTGGGTCCCTCCCTCCCCCTTAAGTTGTGACGTAATTTATGGATGACCCCTTAATAAAATACTTGTATCAGAGGCCTTAGTACGAATTTAATATAATTTAATCGTAACGACGTACTCGTTCGGCGCTGTGATTGGTCGGTTCATTGGCGCCGGCCAATCAGATTGCCGAACGCGCACTCGTTTCGAATTCTGTAAACATAAATCAAACTCGTACTAATGCTTCTGATAATATTTAGAACGAAAAGAAAAATATGCTAGTGGCTCCGTTTCATTGCTCCCTGATGTAGATGTTTAATCCTTCAATATAGATTAATTTCTTTATAAAACGTCAACATTGTTATAAAAATTACACTAACGTTCAGTTCCAATAACCAAGAGATACAATTTTGACATCCTCATGATATGAATGCAAAGTCAAAGTCAAAGTCAAAGCATTTATTTCAATTAAACCATAATTTGGTACTTCTGAAACGTCAACAAATACAAAATAAATAATAATAGTCTGTCAGTCAGTCCGTCAGTGAAGCTTGGTGAAGCTAGGTGCTCATTCCAAAATGTAGATTCGAATGGAGAAGAACGAGCAAGAAACTCCATTCGTTACTCTTTTTTAAAAAAAGTATGTTCTACAATGTCTCTGACACATATTCCAATACTGTACGTATATGTGAGAACAATGCAAAGACACGCTTGACGCATTATAGGTACTAATTACAAATTGCAAGTATAGAAGAGTCATGCTTCGGCACGAATAGGCCGGCTCGACCGGAGTCATACCACGGCCGAGCAGAAGACCTACAAACAATAATTACAGCGTTGTGTTCCAGCGTGTGAGTCTTCGCTTGTCTAATCCCTGAATCCCCAACAATTCCTAATCCCAAAACGCCGGTAACGCACTTGTAACGCCTCTGGTGTTCCATGTGTCCATGAGCGACACCGATTGCTTACCATCAGGTGATCCGTCAGAGCGTTTACCGGCTTACCCCATAAAAAAATTGAATATAGCCGTCGGCGGAGGGCGCCCTAGACAGACATATATTGACCAGATTGGCGATATATTAAAGAAGGGCCAAATTAAAAGTACCCTTAACCGACGAGCATGCATGAAAAGATTGATGACTGTTGATGAAGCGAAAGAGGTATGTAGGAATCGTAACAATTGGGCTTCCATAGTCTCTGCCTGACCATGGGAGACAGACGTGAGGCTATGTATATATAGGTCATCAAACAGCCAGTGGAAGTCCACTGCTGCACTATGAGCCTCCTCTACATAAGAGGGTTTGTCATCTCCGCTGCCAGGCTTGGAGATCGCAGTATAAAAGGTTCAGGTTTATCAGAGAGCGCTGATGCCCGGTCTCTGTCTAATGTGTAATCCCTTAGTCGGGTATATGACACCCGCGGGAAGAATAGCGGTGGTGACAAATGTTGCTTCACATTAGCTTTATACAGTACTAGCTACTTCCGCGTGGTTTTACACGCTCTGCTCAGCTCCTATTGGTCGTAGCGTGATGTTTTATAGCCTATAGCCATCTTCGATAAATGCGCTATCCAACACAAAAAGAATTATTCAAATCAGACTTGTAGTTACGGAGATTAGCGCGTTCAAACAAACAAACAAAAAAACAAACTCTTCCGCTTCATATAATAGTATCACTTAGTCGGGTATATGACACCCGCGGGAAGAATAGCGGTGGTGACAAATGTTGCCATGACATTAGCGTCATATAATTTGTGTCAAAATTGTATATCTACTGAGGTTTTTGAAACTGGTCGTTACCTGTATTGATCAAAATGTCATTGGACCAAGGATTTTTGTATATATATATATATAACTATTTTAAGGTAATCATCTTTAAAAAAAACTTAAATATTATCTTAAATTCGATCTGTACATGCCATAAAATTAAATTATTTGTTAAAAATACTGCTATATATCGAACTACATGTAACCAGTTTATTTTGGTCTCGCTTTATATAATATTTTAGTACATTCAACAGTCAGTTTATACTGGTTGGAATAGCTTGATTCATGTAACTATACATAACCATTTTATTAGGATGTTTCAAACCGGCTAGACACTTTGGCAATGGGTAGAGATGTAGCTTCGTTGTGCATTTTCTATCGCTTATACCACGGGGAGTGCTCTGAGGAATTGTTTGATCTGATACTTGCCGCATCTTTTCGCCATCGACCCTCACGACAGCATATGTATCCCCATCATATAGATGGTTGGCAGGCCACAACTGTGCACTTCTCACGTAGCTTTCTACCTCGCACAGCAAAACTGTGGAATGATCTGTCGTCGGCGGTATTTCCGAACCGATACGACCTTCGAACCTTCAAGAAAAGAGCGTATTCCTTTTAAAAAGGCTGGCAACTCATCTGTGACTCCTCTGGTGTTGCGGGTGTCCATGGGCGGGGCTGATCGCTTACCATCAGGTGATCCGTCTGCTCGTTTGCCTCCTATTACACAAAAAAAACCATGGTCCCCCTTTATATGGTCGTTCTATACATACCACAGTCATTTCATACTAATTTTCACAGGTTTATTTGTGGAGCTATTATTTCCAGTGTAACCTGGTCTAGTTTTGTATGATCTTCTTATACACTCGACGGTCAATTTATACTGGTTTATGCAGTTTGATATAGCCGTGGAATTTACTTAATTAAAAAAAAAGTCAAGTCTTTATTTCATAATATTGTGCTGGTTTAGTCATGAGTATAATTTAACTAAAAATAGAGGGTTACTCATGTGAATATACTGAGAAAAGCTCTACTAGTTTCGAACCACAGAGAGGTTCTTGGCAGTAGGTTGCGCGACATCGTCGCGACCGCGCACGCAGCTCATGAGTAAGAACCCCTCTGTGGTCCGAAACTAGTAGAGCGTTTCTCAGTATATTCACGTGATTTTTAGTTAATTTAGTATGTCTCACGATAGTTATTATAAAAACATGAATATTATTTATCTGAAGTCATAATTTTTTTATGGTAGTGTCGATAGCAACTATGCTAACGGTTGTCCTGATAGTAGACGGACATCGTAGTCTTAGTTCACATTGAACACTAGAGATCTAGATAAATTATTTTTATTACTAAACCAGCATTTAAATGTAAGCTTTACTATGTAAGAAGTTAATGTGTAATTACCTTATTTTTAAATAATTTGGACTTGATACAGGACAACTTAATATGAAGATCAGTACAGCCGTTTTGGACTAATGAAAAAAATTTCAGTAACCCAATAAAATATATATATTGGTGAATATTATGGTGCGACGTGCTCCATCGTAGGCCGCATCATTGGTTACCATCAGTGCCTTTAGCCAAACGCCACGTTAGCGCTTGTCTACAGATCGAGTATAAAACTAAATGTATGCATCCCCATACATTTAGTTGTATACTCTAGCCAATTTCCTATTGGACGAAAAAAAAGAGTACAATACAGTAGAGCCCCCATATAATAAAGTTTATTTTCTTTATATTTGATGGGCCGACGTTTGACCACTATCTCGCCAGCAGCTGTAGCCAAATGCCATTTAGCGCTTGTCTACATGTAGAATAGAAAACCAAATTATATGGAATTGACGTAAATTTTTACACTTGTCAGTGTCATCCCCATACATTTAGTACTCTCTCTGTAGACAAGCGTTAAAGTGGTGTTTGACTAAAGGCACTGGTTAAACTAGTGACGTTCATTTAGTTGATTTTCGTCTATCAATCTGTGGATAATATTTTGTCCTGTATAAATAGTCCAAAAGATCTGCTTTTCTGTAAATATAGTACTTAAGAATATTTGGTGCTTTAAACAATTATAAGTTTCATTCCTAATTACTAAGTCTTAAATATGTCTACTTATAAATTATTTGTCTAATATTTCAATATTTATTTTTATCATTTTTCAAAATGAAAATTATATTTTTTTATTTCGTTTTTTTTTTGTGTAAGGACGTAAAGTGAAATTACCTACATTGTATTTTTTCTTGATATTTTTTGTGTTGTTTTTTGTTTACGTGTCATGGAGTGTAGAATAAAGGAATACGCAGACGAGGACATGGCAAGGGGTTTTGCCTCGGCATGCCACGGGACGCCAAAGCAAAGTATTTAAGTGTGGGAGAGCCATGCTTCGGCACGAATGGGCCGGCTCGACCGGAGTGATACCACGGCCGAGCAGAAAACCGACGTGAAACAACGCTTGCGTTGTGTTTCGCCTTTACCTTTACCTTCCCCTTCCCCAATCTCCCCAATCCCTGAATCCCCAACGATCCTCAAACTCCTAATCCCCAAAAAGCCGGTGACGCACTTGTAACGCCTCTGGTGTTCCAGGTGTCCATGGGCGACGCCGATTGCTTACCATCAGGTGATCCGTCTGCTCCTTTACCGGCTTATGCCATAAAAAAAAGTATATTATTCCCCGCTTCTCTACCCCCGCCGCCTCATCCCGCGGTATACCACGGTATCCCGCTGCGGGAACCCGCGCCGCATCTTTAAATGCCGTGAAAGGGAATCCTTTTCGATGCCACACCATCATTTATAAAGCGCAGCAATTTATATTGTATTTATATATCAATACATTTGAATGTCCATTGGCAAATATTACCTAAATCCCTTGCCATGCCGACCTGGCCTGCGTAAACCTTTATATCCTATTATCTTACAAGGAAATCAAACTGAAAAAGTGTCTGGACAATTGTATATAGTGCTGACATTATTATGAATCACCTAAAGAACAAAACAAAAAAAAAACAAAAGAAAATGCAGCTGTTCAGCCAACGATACACAGAGGACAAATGTACAACACGGCTACACATCGAGCTTTACATAACCAGTATAAACTGAACGTTAAATGTGCGGAAAGATGATGCGACGCGACACCAGGATAAACTGGTTTTGTATAGATTGTTTTGTGGCTTCTATTTTTCGTCTCTATACTCCATGAAAAAACCTACGTCTGTATCTCTGTTAATTGAAAAACAAGTTACTGTGTAGGTATATCATAATTATTGTATTATACCTATGTGAAATTGTAAAATAATGGAAAAAAAAAATATCGTGAAACATGTGACCGTACGATAAAGAAAATTTGTATTAAAAATAAAAGAATATTTTTAAATTATTATTGTGGTTTTAATTAAAAAAAAAACGTTACCCCACACACACATTTCACATACACATGACATCCAGACCCGGAACAACAATTTGCGGATTACCTACACAAAGAGCTGTTCCGTGCGGGAATCGAAACCCCGACACGTTGCGCGGCAGACAGTTGCCGTGCAGTGCAAAGTGAAAACTGTACATGGAATATTTTTTAAAAGAATGCTTTGGGCATGATATACAGTCGACACCGAAACCAAAAATATGGTTTTTAGAATTTTTGTCTGTTTGTCTGTCCGTCTGCATGTATGTCCGGGATGAACTCAAAAAGTGCTGGATGGATCTACTTAAAATGTTTAAAGAGTATTACTAACAGGCCGGGGCAACATATAGGGTCCATATTATCACGCTATCCACTACGGGGGAGGAGCTGTAAATACCTATTCCACGCGGACGAAGTCGCGGGCTCAGCTAGTAATATATAAATTAAATAAATATATTTTTATAAGGTTGGTTTTTCAATGACTTCTCCCGCTTGGGTGAGGCTCCCGCCTCCCGCCCGACTAAACCAGTTATGTTGTCTTCAGCCCCGAAAAAATATTATATTTTTTTTATGGGATAGGTCGGTAAACAAGCCGACGGATCACCTGATGGTAAGCAATGGTCACCGCCCATGTAAGCCCGAAACACCAGAGGCGTTACAAGTGCGTTATCGGCCTTTTGGAGATTTAAGGAATTTGAGGATTGTGGAATATGAAGCAAACGAGCAGACGGATCACCTGATGGTAAGCGATCGGCGTCGCCCATGGACATCTGCAACACCAGAGGAGTAACAGGTGCGTTGCCGGCCTTTTAAAAAGGAGTACGCTCTTTTCTTGAAGGTTTGAAGGTTGTATCGGTTCGGAAATACCGCCGACGACAGATCATTCCACAGTTTTGCTGTGCGAGGCAGAAAGCCACGTCAGAAGCGCACAGTTGTGGCCTGCCAACCATCTATATGACCTGTTTATTTGCAGGCGGGAGGACGGTGCTGCATACTGCACGCTGCAAATTCATTCCTTCAGCAGAATCAAAACTAAATATTTTCCCAGTTGCTAGTGAAGCATGGATATCCGTAAAGTAACGCCTGATTCTATTCTATATATTCAGAAGTCCAATTTATTTCAAAAGATTGTTTTAATGATATGACGTCGTTCTTTGGATTCTCAGGGACGTGGAATAAAGTTCGACACATTGAATCCAAACTTGTACGTATATTAAATAACAACTTTACATTAAATATAAACAAAGTTGTACAATATTACAATAATTCAGATATTCGCGGTACAAATTCAGGGCGCGTGCGTCACGGTACCGACGCGAGACTCGTTGTGACGTTAACCCGTTAGGTTCTCCGCGACACTTTTTTTACTATAGGATATTGTTTTAAAAATATAATATGAGAACTATTAGGAATTTAATAAGGGTGTTAATAAGAGTGCACCTATTAATACGCTCTTACGCAAGCGCCGAGCGGTCAGTGTTCAGAAGCAGGGGGAATGAAATAGGACGTTGCCTACACAAACTGAAATCGAATTTTATTTTTCTTACTTTAATTCAACGCTATTGTAAACAAAAACTACAGAGCGCTAATTATCTATTTCTAATTGGGTACTAGCCTTCATCAAAAATAAATTATTTCGACTGTTCAAAACAATAAAATATAAAAAAAAAAATAATCACACTTTTATTAATTGACTTTATGTATTGACTTAATTTTAGTATTTACCAGCAATTTTTTAAGAAATAACTATGCTGTTTGACGCTAAAAAAACGTGACGTTACAATACACAATCTCGTACAAAATTCATAGAAAACTGTCATTAGTGACAGATCGAAAAAAAGTATTGAATTTGACTAGTTGGCGAGTACCTAATTATGTTAATACTTCTTCCATGTTTAATATCCATGCCTTTTAGCTAAGACATGGTAAGGTAAATCTTTAATAGATTTCTCGGTTAAATCGATGGATATTTTATGATGCAGCGACGAGAAAGAAACTTCAGTTGTAGCCTTGTTGACTCCTGGTATCGTCACGCACACGAAACTAATCATGTAGCCTTCATCTAGCTGAAAATGTAAAGAAAATACATTCAGTTAGGATTTTTGCACAGTTTTTAGAGTGTTAGACTCTTAATGACTAAAAACCACTTCGTTCCTACTCCTACACTTCAAGTCAAAGTCAAAATCAAAATCATTTATTTCAATTAGCCTAGGAAGGCACTTTTGAACAAAACAGAATATCACTACATAGTATAAAACAAACTCTCTATCCGCCGTCTGTCTGTCCTTATGTATGCTTAGATCTTTAAAACTACACAACGGATTTTGATGCGTTTTTTTTAATAGGTAGTGGTTCTCAATAGGTACTGTATTCTTCATTTAATATGGCTTCCATATGAGCTTAGTCATGGAGTGAAGTCAAAAAAATAAACATCATGTAGAGATGGTTACATTACATAATATAGCATTACGCTTTTTGTCCTCGACGAGATAGGCAGAGGTGCGTAATGCCACTGCATACAACCCACTTTCCACTATTTTATGTTATGAGTCCCATGTAATAGAGGGTGAGCCTATTGCCATATACTAAGCACAATTCCAGACTCCGTGCTACTATGGGTTTTTTTTAAAACCCAGTAATACTGCTCAAACCTGAGATCGAACCGGAGACACTTGCGACTCGGCTAACGAGGTACAGAGAAGGTTACTTACTGGGATTATAGTCTCTGCGTGATTGCTACCCCTTCGCAGTGTATGGTCTACATTATAATACTCTTTCGTGAAGTTCCATGTCGGGTCACCTGCAGAATATCAATCAATATTTAGGATGATGACAAGGTATGAAAATTAAAAATCTTATTAGTCCATCAGTTAGGTAATGAAAAAATATTAGACACATATGTTTTATTTTGTCGTATAATAAAACAATACTTAGATAAAACGAATCAAAGTTTAGGAGTGGAGGCTAAAACGTCATTTCTACGTATAAAATGTACATAGAAGTGACGTCACGCGACATTTCAAATCACTATATCGTCGAAAGTGTCTGTTTTTGTATGAAAGTAAAAAATACGTGTCTAATGATTTAAAATAATCAACCAGACTTACATTAAAATAAAAATTAGGCATCTATCCTATTGTAGGTGTAGATTTATATTATGTATAAAACCATACATTTTGTTAGTGTGGGAGAGCCATGCTTCGGCACGAATGGGCCGGCTCGACCGGAGTTATACCACGGCCTCACAGAAAACCGACGTGAAGCAACGCTTGCGTTGTGTTTCGTCGTGTGAGTGAGGTTACTGGAGGCCCAATTACCCCTCTCTCCCCGATCTTCCCAATCCCCGAACCCTCCACAATCCTCAAATTCTTCTCCCAAAAGGCCGGTAACGCACTTGTAATGCCTTGGTGTTTTAGGTGTCCATGGGCGACGCCGATTGCTTACTATCATGTGATCCGTTTGCTCGATTACCGGCTAATGCCATAAAAAATCCTACTACCGGTGCCTGAGTGAGTCGCTGACGGTACAATGGGAGACATCTGCCTTTGATCATTTAAAATTTTTGTTGCTTGGACCCGGTTTTTGTTGTTGGAGGGGAGGATTGGGTCTCCGATAACCTTACCTGCTCACATGGCGAAAAATTAACCTAAGCATTGTTTCTCATTGATTTTTTGCAAGGCCGTGGTATCACTCCATTCTAGCCGGCCATTGGTGCTGAAGCATGCCTCATTGCCTTACCCACGTCAAAATAAATTAAAAAGTAGTAAAATATAAATACTAACCGAATTGATAATCACATTTATACTTCTTCTCTTCTGCAAAAGCCACGGTTGCCACAGCGACGACAATTAAGAACAAAAGCTTCGCCATTTTGGATTATTTTCCAAATGTCAACGAAGTGTCAAAACAAAACTTCAAAACTTTACTGAATGGACTTCACTTGAGTTTTTTACTTTTATATTGAATTTTACATCCATATTCTCTTACCTCGTTTAGTCATAGTCATACCATTTCAGATAATTAGGGTTGTCGAATAAAAATTATGCTACTGGGGCAACCCTCGCCTTTTTCCTTCCACCGAGGTAAAACCGAACTATAAGTACAGCTTCTAGCAGGTACCCTACATTTCCTTTGAAAAGTTGCGACGTATTTCTAACTAAATTAACTATTCTAATCCTATTTTAGAAAATCCCTTTGAACTTTTGAGAATTAGGAATTTAAGGAATGGGGAAATTGGGCCTCCCGTAACCTCACTCACACGACGTGAATACAACGCAATCGTTGTTTCACTATGGTGTTCTGCTCGGCCGTGGTATCACTCCGGTCATGCCGGCCGATTCGTGCCGAAGCATGGCTGTCCCAAATTTAACTGATCACATCGAAACTGATCAAGAGCATCTGAGAAAAGCTCTATTAGTTTCGAACCACAGAGGGGTTCTTCCTTATGAGCAGCGTACGCGGTCGCGGCGATGTCGCGCAGCCTGGTCTAGCTAAGTCGCCCCTCTGTAACCTGGCACCTGGCACTTGTCTAGTTTGCTTTAGGGATAATACGGTTCTGACTAGTTACAATAATCCTAATTATTTAACATGATGTAAATGACGGAGATTTAAAAATATTTCAAGACGCCTGGTCGACACATCTCGTGACCAGAGGGCTGGTCTATATCTCGGTCAGAGGCCAAGCATTCCCATACAACGTGGCATTGCTGCCAGCCTTCTGGGTACTTTCCCTGTTGACGTCGATGCGGACGAATTTTTTGATACTCTGTGTAAATAGTTAATTTTAGTTTTCTTTTATTTAATTTTTGTCTTTTTCTTATAGTGTATGTAAAAGTTGGACATATTTATTAATTTTTTCATTTAAATTATAATTCTTCATTGTTGGTAGAAATAATAAAAAGTATAAATATTAAACTTAGACAGCCCTAACAAATGTAAGATCGTCACATGGGTTTCCCGTAGATGATCTAATTACGACAATTTTCCCGTACGATCCCATTTCCCGGTAACTGCATAATAATAATAAACATATAATGTATAATAAATATAATTACGTAATTCTATTTAATTAATACAAATAATCAATATGTTTACCATTTTCATTTTACAAACATCCTTGATTAGCATTTATCCTCAAAATTATGTAGTTATAGCTTTTACCCTTTTACCTTTTAAACGTATAACAAACTCGTAGGTCCTAAGACCTCAAATAAATAGGTAATTAGGCCTTTTATATGACAGGGGAAAGCTTAAAAAGCCGCCTAGCTTTTTGGTGATAAAAGACTAAGGAGTGTGGGATTTTTACCTCCCCAAAACCACCCCGGTGGCCACCATCCGTACCTGTAACGCATCGAGTCCTCTCATAGACCATTTTTAAGTGGGGATTTATCAAATGTCTTCTCCCGCCTAAGTGAGGTAGAAGGGAGTGTCAGAGTCTTACTGATTAAAACTATTGACTTACTGGCTCTTTGAGCCGTGCGCGGAACGCGACGCGCCGTACGCTCTAGTTTAGTTCTGGTTACGGAGGCGCTCGTCGATCGTCCCGCGATCTCCGACACCCGGAGTGTACTTCGAGACGGCTGGGTTGCGAGGGGCCAGCGATTCGCTGCCTCACGCGCCCCGCCTCCTCCTTAACCTTTCATAGACCTGCTCCGGAGCTCCTAAACAACACCGTCTATTACGGCAAATCCCTTAGTACGACGTGCATCTCCCTTGTATCTCGCTGTGTTCAGCGTCACGTGACCACCATGGCACCATCTTCCCTGAGGCTACTGGCTCCTAGAGTCCCCTATCTATGTCCCCGTGGCCCCGGGTTATTCGGCCTATCCGTTGGATTTATTGAGATTCTTTACGACAATATAGTACATTTATAGGTATTTTTATGGGTAGCTAATTTAAATTTGAATTAAGTAAGTAATAATTATGTTTGTTAATTAATAATTTAATGTTAATTTATTGCCTAATTGTAGTCTATAATAATTTTCATTTTAATCTGCATAAAGGTTTGAAAATGATACGCGTTTCCTGCATATTTCTTGGTAACTATAAATTGTTATCTTACATTATAAAACATAATTTTTAATTTAAAAATTAATATGTTCAGTTGGCAGATTATTTGATTACCGAACCTAGGTTTCTTAGCGAGGCCAAACTACTGAACGAAGTATTTTAGGTTCGATTCCCAAGTGTGGCCAAATTATTGTCTAATAGGGTAGTTTGCTAAATTTTATTTTAATATCCGTCTGGAACATTAATTTAAAACTTTAGACACGTATTTTTTCTTTTCTCACTAAATTAAATACTTTCGACGATATATTAATTTGAAATATCGTGTGACGTCACAGCGTGCCACATTTTGTAGCACGTTATGACGTAACGACCTCCCACTTCAAAACCTAGCGCCATTTTATCTAAGTATTGCAACTTCATACGAGAAAATAAAAAAATACGTGTCTAATATTTTGTCATTATCTAACTGACGGACCATTTCGATTTTTAATTTTGATACCCTGGAAACTACATAATTTTTGAATTTCGAAAGTTCAATAATCTACACCGAGTGACTATGAACCTCGTCTACATGAGAGGGTTTTGTTAATATTTCAACTTGACAGGCTATTTTGAAATCTCAGTCGAAAAGATTATGGTTTGTCAAAAAGTGGTGTTGTGGTACATAATATACATATTTTTGTTAGATAACCAGCTACCCGGCAAACTTCGTGTTGCCTAAAACATTTTTTATCACCTTTTAAATCTTCCGTGGACTTTCACAAACATTTCAAGACCAAAATTAGATAAATCGGTCCAGCCGTTCGCGAGTTTTAGCGGGACTTACGAACGGAAATTCATTTTCATTTATACATGGTGTTGATTTAAAGCCTCGTCATTTTGTAGGAGGTAACTCGGCTATCGATTCTGAGTCCGAATCAATAAAAAAAATTGTAGGTAAATATTTTTCATTTTTCTGTACATTACGGAAATCCGTAAGTGCGAACTACACGCCGCCGTCTTGTAACTAGCTTTATAACGCGGTTCAACACACACAAACTCAAACACGTAATTGATATTATTCTTAATTCCATAAAACTCCAATAAGAAACATTGCTGTCGCTTATTCTGAAATACTGTCGAACACAAACGATTTATTATAGCCGTATTTTTAACTATTGGCCCGAAACTTTCTATTACATTGGACCATTATGACTTCTGTGACATGCCCCCGAGAAATGACACGGTTTCAAAACTACACCTTGTATAGATATCCTAAATCTAAATTTCCAGGCCTCATCCTATCAGAAATGGCTACAGCCAAACCAAATACGCCTACATACCCGAAAATAAGCGAATACTCACAAAAACAGAAAACAACGAGAAAATCAAGTGATACCATAGATTCATCCAAGGAAAACTCCTTGGAAAGCGTCGTTCTAGCCATAGATACAGGTGTCAAAAACTTTATGGCGGGAAAAACGAAACCTGGCGTTGTTGACGACATTGCCAAGCAATTATTGAAATTTGCCAAAAATAGCGATAAACCGGTTTACAAACGATCCGGAACTGCTGGACAAGACTATAACATTAGTAAGTTTGTACCTATTTATGAACTGCCTCATTGGCCGAGTTATCGCAAATGCAACTGTCGGGCAAGGGGCCTCGGGTTCGATTCCGAGGTCAGGCAATTATTACTGGGTTTGTTTAGACAGTTTTCTATGAATTTTGTACGCTATTGTGTATTGTGACGTCACGGTTTTTAGCGTCAAACAGCATAGTTATTTCTTAAAAAAATGCTGGAAGAATACTAAAATAAGTTGGTCATAAAATCAATTAATGAAAGTTTGATTATTTTTAATGTCTTATTTTCAATTTTTGACTAAGGAAAGTACCCAATTAGCTATTCTCACACTTTTTAAAATCCAATATCTGACAGCGATAGTGAATGGACAAACAGACCTCGTGATAGATTAGTGCAAAGAGTATAATAAGTATAGGATGATAAGTGTCATATAGTGAGCAAAAAACAGAAGCCTCGATTATATTCATCAAAAACTTATTAATTATCTGTCTCCTTGCAGAACCAGAGATAATACACTTCCGTAGCAGCGACAAACCGTCAGTCATGTTCGAAATTAATTCAAAATCAATAATAGATGTTTTAAAAAATCTTTTGCAATCGAAATCAGTGCATAAATACATGGATAAGTTCACTAAAGAGGCTGCAGTTATATATCGCGCCGCAAAAGTAGAATACGACAAGTCTCAAGCGAAGAAAATGCGAAATATAGAATAAAACAATAAAGATTCTCACGCCCAAAAAGGCGCTCGTAAAACCTTGTTTTAATGTATCCTCCCAGAGCCATTATAGTAGATAATAGATACAATCGGAGGCCCTATGGGGTAGTTGCCAGGGTATGAAGATTAAAAATCTCACAAGTCCACATTTATATGGCCACATAAGCCGGTAAACGAGCAGACGGATCACCTGATGATTAGCAATCGGCACCGCCCATGGACACCTGAAACAAGGCGTTACAAGCGCGTTACCGGCCTTTTGGGAATTAGGAATTTGAGGATTGTGGAGGATTCGGGGATTGGGGAGACTGAGGAGGAGGGGTAATTGGTCCTCCGGTAACCTCACTCACACGACGAAACAATTTCACGTCTGTTGTCTGCTCGGCCGTGGTATCACTCTGGTCGAGCCGGCCCATTCGTGCCGAAGCATGGCTCTCCCACACTTTTTTTTTTTTTGAGGGGGAAAGTCATCCTATGACTTCTCCCGCCCGGGAGAGGCGGGAGGAAGCGAGACTCTTACTGACTAAAAACCACCCCGTTCCTACTCCTGCACTTCGAGCCGGAGCCCCGGTAACCCGTTAGGTCTTCCGCGGCTCCGTATCGGCATCAGCCCTGTTAGGCCCCATCTGTGGTGGTCTGATGGCTCCTTGAGGCGCTCGGGCCTGGTTCTGGTCGGGCGGCGAGTCACCCTTGCTCGCCGTCCGCAGGCCCGTGCTTACGGTGGCCGGAGATCGCCTCGCGATCCTCGACGCCCGGAATGTCTCTCGCGACGGCCGGGTCGTGAAGAGGTTCGTTCCCTCACGCACTCCGCCTCCTCCTTAGCTAGCATGACTGCTTCGCAGAAGGAGGAGACGGGATCCCAGTCCCCCTAGCTCCGTACCATGGTCTGAACCAGAGCCGGACGCGAGAGGTCGCCGTCGCCGATCACATTCCTAAAAACACGGCGGTGCTCAATCCACGCAGGACACACCGCCACCGTATACTCCACCGTGTCCTCCGGGCGATCCTCGCAGTGATGACACCCGGGCGTTTCCTCCCGCCCAATCCGAAACAGGAACCTACCGAAACTCCCGTGTCCGGTAAGCACCTGCGTCAGGCGGTAGGTGAGGAAGCTGTAGCGTCTCTCAAGCCACTCCTCAAAGAGGGGACTTACCGCTACAATGACAGCGAGCCCAAGCTCTCCCACACTTAGATTATGAAATATTAATCACGTATTTTTTATTTTCTCGTATAAAGTTAATACTTAGATAAAATAAAATATAATATAAGATAGGGCTTTTAAAAAAATTTCAGTAGCAGCACGGAGTCTGGAATTGTGCCCGGTATATGGCAATAGGATCACCCCCTATTACATAGGACATTAGGACGCATACCATAAATAGTGAAAAGTGGGTGTTACAGTGTACAGTGTCATAAAGTGCCGTAATATGCACCCCTTTTTTTGTTGACGGGAGGAAACCTTCAGAAGGCGCCTAGCTTTTTGGGGAAAAAGACTAGGGAGTGTGGGATTTTTACCTCACTAACACCTCCCCGGTGGTCACCATCCGCACTTGAAGGAGGCACCGGGTCCTCTTAGTAGACCAACTCCGGAGCCCCCTCAGTGCAACGCCTGTTACGGCACCTCCCTATGGAGACCTGTGTGTCTGCCTAGAGCCTCTCTGTGCACTGCATGGCCGCACGTGTCCACTGTGCCGACGTCATCCTTGAGGTCATTCGGTGGGCGCCTAGATTTCCCACTCTAAATTTAAATCACTTTTATTTGTTCACATATATAGATATAATTATATAGGTCTTTTATATGGTAATAAAATAGAGCGCTATGCTATACCCGGAGGCATACAAATTGTGGTGAGCACTAGGCCTAAGTTTGTAAATTAAAAACAGAGTAGTATATGTCTTGAGGAAAACATGCATAATGGAACAATCAATTTCGACACTTAAAAAAAACATCATGTACTTTAATCGATTTACATCTATGGTTTGCCTATCAATATTGTAGGAAGGGAATCAACATATTAGGCGCCGCGGCGGTTATTTCCTCGACGCCTTCGACGGGCGGGATCAGCGCTCTCCCGATCCCAAGTGAAACAAGTGAATTTAATTCTGCAAATAGGCTACAAGGCAGCACTTTTGCACGTCAAAAGCCCACTCAGCAGCCTCCTTTTGGGCCAATACAGTCTCACAAAAGGAGGCCACAGACCAGCATAGCCGTAATTACTGGCAGAGACCCCTGCACCCATACACAATTGGGTACTTGCCACCTAGTCAAATTCAATACTTCTTTCGAACGGTCAAAGACGCAGTTTTCTATGAATTTTGTACGAGATTGTGTATTGTGACGTCACGTCTTTTTTGCGCCAAACAGCATATATCTTAAAAAAATGCTGGAAAACTACTAAAATTATAAAAGTGTGATTATTATTTAATACTTATTGTATTGAACAGTCGAATTATTTTTGATTAAGGAAAGTGCGTAATTGAAACTATAACTAACCCTAATTAACAATTTAATAGGAATTTATAAACATTAAACCTATCAAAGTGTAAAATAATGAAAATTTTCCCATTTTAAATAACAATAAAAGTCTGATTAAAATGATACGTACTTCCTGCATATTTCTTGGTAAATATAATAACAATATAATTAAAATTTAAAATTCATGTTTTAGGGAACAGAGAGTATAGTTCCCTAAGATCGGAAAAGGAGGATCCTCCGACCAGGCGAGGTGATCGTGCCTGGCGGGCTTTCTGCCCGACGGTTGTTCGTTGGGATTTTCTATTCGTGTTTATTCACTTGTAAACTTTGCATGTGCGATGTAGGATTCCTGTGACGTCATCCGATGACATGGACATGTGACATGTGTCGCCAAATCACTCCCTTTCAAGACCGGAGGTCGGTCCTGTTGAGACGGCTGTCGATGCTCGAGATGAGCCAGAACCAGTGTAGAATATCCCTAGTTCCGAAAGTGTGCCGCTGAGTGCCCAGTGAGTCGGGTGAGCGGTGCAGGGCGACACTCCAGTGAGTCGGAGAGATGAGCTCGCAGTGTCCCACGGCGAGTCAGGGAATAGATGCTGCGAGGGTAGGTGCGTAGTGGAGTGACTGGCGTCTGCGTTGACGGGAGGAGATGTCCTTCAGAACCGTGTGCAGAAGTGCTGTGCCTAGACGCTGGTGAGGCCGTAGGGAAGAACCAGGCTGCACAACTTCGTTGCAGGCGATGGTGGTCCCTGGTGAAGCCGAGGATGCTGGTTGGCTGCGACTTGATTACCGCTCAGCGGAGAAGTGATAAATGAGAGGGGTGGCGATAAGGATGACGCCGATGACGGTGCTGATCTGTTCAGTGAAGTCAAGGTAGCTTCCAATCACGTCGGGGTCACCACTTTAGGGAACAGAGAGTATAGTTCCCTAAGATCGAAAAGGAGGATTCTCCGACCAGGCGAGGTAATCGTGCCTGGCGGGCTTTCTGCCTGACAGTTGCACTTCGTGGTCATGTCTCCGTCCCCGACAGGGGGCGCGAGATCGCGCGATCCAGGCCGATGCCTGTCTCGGCGGTATCTAGTCGCTGCCTGCGACTGCAGGCGAGGGGTTGGGTTAGTCGGGCTCCTTGCGGGGCCCGATGCGGTAAACAGACCTCACAGTTGTTCGTTGGGTTTTTCTATCCGTGTTTGTTTGCTTCTAAACTTTGCATGTGCGATGTAGGATTCTTGTGTGTGATGTCAAATGAAATGAGTGTCAAAAGCAAATGAGTGTCACTGGGTTCTCGAATGAACGAACTCACCTGCGACTGAATGGCAATCTAGTCTCAATTCCCAAGCGACGCCATATCGGTTTTCGAAAATTCGTTAATCTACTCAACTACAGTCGTTTTTGCAGGGCCGTGTGTCTTCTCAAACAGTTTTTTATTAATAAACTTGGTAGACTGTTTTGAGATCGCATTCAAAAGGTTCAGGTTTATCGTTCAAAAAGCGGTGCTGTGACATAAAATACGCTGTGGTGCCCATGCCTCATAACTCGACCCACGAGATCGTACCTAGTCCTTATTAGGTGTAATAAATCTAACATTCCAGGCCTCATCCTATCAGAAATGGCCACAGCCAGACCAAATACGCCTACATACACGAAAATAAGCGATAACTCACAAAAACAAAAATCAACGAGAAAATTAACTGATACCATAGATTCACCTAAGGAAAACTCCTTGGAAAGCGTCGTTCTAGCCATAGACACAAGTGTCAAAAACTTTATGGCGGGAATAACGAAACCTGGCGTTGTTGACGATTTTGCCAAAAATAGCGATAAACCAATTTACAAACATTCTGGAATTGCAAGACAAGACTATAACATTAGTAAGTATCTATTAAGTAAATATGTAACTAGTAGGTACCTACCTAGTTACCTTCGTAAAAAGTAATGTAAAAACTGGCACGCTGCTACTCAGCGTAGTCAGTAGCAGCGCGAATCGCCGGGTCGCGAAATGCTGTGCCTCGTCAAATAATTACGAAAACTTAATAATTAGTTTTGAAAAACCTTTTGCAATCGAATGAATCAGTGCTTAGGACGTTGAAGAAACGACTGTCGCACCTGGCTAGTGGCTACTATAGCCTTACACACATAGACACGAAAGGCATCTGTCGCGTGACATGGCCCGTCATTACGTTTCATTTTTATATAATTTTATTTATAACCATTTTTTTTATGGGGGGAAAATCATCGAAAGACTGCTCCCGCCTGGGTGAGACGGGAGGGAGTGTCAGACTCTTACTGTCTAATAATCACCCCGTTCCTTCTCCTGTACGTCGAGCCGGAGCCCCGGTTACTCGTTAGGTTCTCTTTTTATGACCATAGACACAAGTCTTGCAGTCGACATTATAATTCAATTTTTTTTTATAATTTTATTCATGACCATAGATTCAAGTGTTACAGTCGAATACATAATTACACTTCATAGGTGTTGCAAGTACACGCACAATAAATATACCACTGACATTTCGGTGCTTCAGTCATTTCTCGATGACATTACGTCTATCTTTTTCTCAACGTCCCTAATCAGTGCATCGATTTATGCAAACATTCACTAAAGAGGCTGCAGTTATTTATAAAGTGTATATTTATCGCGTATGGTTATGTACGTATTCTGTTTATATTTATGTAACCATTTTGATAGTTATATTATACCATTTCAACCTGTAGTACTCTGTGAGGGCAATCTGACTGTCCGGAGCTGGTAGCACAGGTGGTACGGTTGTTTGTGCCCGCAGTTCTGAAGCATCAACTTAGGCCGCATAGGCACACCTTACTAGCTGACCCGGTAACGCGAACAATGGCGCATGCAAATGCCCCGCTTGTTCGAGCATTAACGAGGCTGCTTCCCTTCTTCGAGCAGCGCGCGTGGAACACTACGCCTACTCCCGCCGGAGGTCACAAATCGGCTGACGCTTCATTGCGCTGACGATCATCGCGTCTACGGCGAGAAGGGAGAGAACTTGACGCCTCCCTCTCCTTATCCCCACCAGAGTGTGATCTGTTCGCAGAGAGATGGAAGGATGTCTATCGTGAATGTGTAAGATTTTGTTAGAAGATGGACGGCTGACGAATTAGTATTAAGTAATTATAATGATTGTACTTTTTATATAAGATACCTATTACATAAGTGTTAAGTAGTAAATAAGAATTTTGTTAAACTGTTTAATGTTTTGGCTTATGCAGTAAAATTATGCATGTGCATAAAAATAAATAAAACAAATAATAAATAATCTTTTTGCAGCTTACCATCTACCACGTACATTTCTGCACTACACAAAGAACGACTGGCAGAGGATACTGTTAGCATTAAGTCCTCCCTTTGCAATTGTATAAAGCTAAAATAAATAAATGAATAAAATTAACAACGAATTTGATAAGTCTCAAATAAATCCAACACGAAATAAAGAGGCCTTAGTATAAGCCTTTTAATGTTATCCTCCTAAAACTGTTATAACTGAGTACTTTCTTTAGGCAAAAATAAACAAGAAATAAGTATTTGACGCTTCAAAAACGTGACGTCACAATACATAATCTCATATACAATATTCATAGAAAACTGTCGTTTTTGACAGTTCGCAAAAAGCATTGAATTTGGCTAGTTGGCAAGTAAGTACCCAATTGACACCCCCTCTCCTCCCCTCTCATACACAATTGGGATGATGACAAGGTATGAAAATTAAAAATCTAATTAGTCCGTAAATTATTATTAGGTAATGAAAAAATATTAGACACATATTTTTTATTTTGTCATATAATAAAACAATACTTAGATAAAACGAATCAAAGGAGTGGGGGCTAAAACGTCATTTTTACGTATACAATGTACATAGAAGTGACGTCACGTGACATTTCAAATAAATATATCGTCGAAAGTATTCGTTTCGTTTATCGTCAAAAGTATTCGTTTCGTTATTTCGTTTCTGTAACAAATTAAAAAATACGTGTCTAATGATTTAAAATAATCTACCAGACGGATATTAAAATAAAAATTAAGCATCTACTCTATTGTCTTCTTCTTCTCTTCTTCTTATAGTGCCACTTCAATGTTGAAGGTCGGCCGTCAGCTTCTTGTATTTCTCCTTGTCGGTAGCCATGCGGAACAATTGTTCGACAGATGTAATGCCGGTCCACTCCCGGATGTTTCGCAGCCACGATTTTCTTCTGCGCCCAGCACGTCTCTTCCCCTCCACTTTGCCCATCATGATCAGTTGAAGCAGTGAATATCTATCGTGTCTAAGCACGTGACCGAGATATTCGATTTTTCGCTTTTTGATGGCCAGCATAATTTTCCGGGTCATTTGGACGCGCTGTAGCACGGATTCGTTGCTGACCCTTTGTGTCCAGCTGATTCGGAGCATACGACGGTAACACCACATCTCGAATGCATTTATACGTCTCGTAGTGTCCTCCTTCACGGTCAATGCTTCACATCCGTACATGACTAGAGGCCAGATGTAGCAGAAGAGTAACCTAACTCTGAGCTTAATGTTTATTTGACGACAACACAGAACTTTCCTCATTTTGTTAAAAGATGCTCGGGCAATTTCTATCCGGGTCTTAATTTCTTGATCTGATTCCCATACTTCATTTACCCAAGCACCGAGATACTTGTATTGTCGTACTCGTTCGAGTGGTTTGCCATCTATGTTTATAATTGGGTCAAGATCAGGATTTTTGGAGACAACCATCAACTTGGTTTTACTGATGTTAACACTTAAGGACTCGCGCCTTATTTTGTAACACCCATACTCGCTACCGGGTACGCTGGACCCAGTACAATAGTCATTTTATTTTCCAAAAATACTAAATAAAAGTGAAAACTACTTTATTACTAGGGATAATATGACAATAAACAAAGACAATAATGAATCAAACAGTAATATTTGTTTCGTTTTCTTAATAAACAAGTTTTTACAAAAATTAACGGTTTTTTGGCATGTTTTTATGACAAGATTAAGTTTAATCCTGAAAACTTCTGTAATTAGTGGTTTTATCAATATCTTTATATTTTTTCTTATACTACTATGTTATACCTACTTAGAACAAATAACAAAAAGAGATCAATACTAAAAGAACACAATAAAAATATCTTTGAAAATCAACAAAATCAAATAACTTTTTTTTTGGATACAATAATAATTCAAAATCAACAGTCTCTTTCTTCTTCTAATTTACTAAAACAATTGGAACACACGTGTTTCACGCGTTCTCTACAAATGACTATATTGCATTTTATACAAAAAATTTTGGCTTTTCTATCTTTTTTCCAGTTACAAAGACCGCAACGTACATTTCGATGGATGAGTTGGATGCCGCGGGTGGTTCGACTTCTCAAATTATATTTCAGATACGGTTTTTGATATGCTGTGGAATGTTTATGATAGAAATTCAGTCATGAAGGTGCCGGTGAATTAGAGAAATTGCCAAGGTTTTGATGAAATCTCTTTGAGTGAAGTTATCTAAAGATACATTAGCCTTCTGAATAATATAAGTGTTTAGTTCACCAATATTCAATAATCCGAAAAGTATACACAGGGGCCATCTTTGAGTTCGTCTTGACACAGAATACGTAACAATCGTCTGATCAACTATATCGACTCCACATTTCAAAGCATTATAGTTGGTTATTATTTCCGGTTTCTTTTTTTCACCAGTTTCTACATCTATTCTTCATTAACATTCTCTAGTCATAGTATATCTCATTCATTGTCATAGTCTTCTATTTCGTCAAGTCTCAACGGCCTATTGGAAGCCATTTTCTATGAAATAAACATAAAACAAGTCTATAAATAATACTATGATGAGAAAAAGAACGCTTACGTATTTAGTCGCTACCGGGTCCAGAGGACCCATACGCACCTTATACGTCTATAGCACTCACTCGCAGGGCGCCAACTTACGAATACGACCGGCATTTGCCGCGCTACACTGTTGTTGAAAGGTACTAAGAACCGCAACATCGCAAACGTCAAATCTTAAAAGTTATTACAAACAAATTAAACAACTGGGTCCGTTAGACCCATTAGCGAGTCTTTAAGTGTTAATAGACAGACCGGCTTTCTCGCTTGTCTCGTTGACTTTATTTACAATTGTCTGTAAGTCACGTTCCGAAGCAGCAACAAGAACTCTATTGTCGCTAACCCATAAAAAATCTAACATGTAACCTTGTCTTTATACTTTTCAAACGTCAATAAAATGAAAGTAATCAATCTGTTGGTCATTGGAGACATTATTAACAATTTTATTTTAACTCGTCGAGTACCGGTTTTGTAGACACTATTATAGAACAATAGGTTGCGGTCACCGGTGATCGCTTGGTGCTTGACAGTTAATTAGCTAAACTGTTTATTAACAAACTACTTTATTAACTAAAAATCGCGGGCTACTCACGTGAATATACCTACCTCATGAGCAGCGTGTGAGGTCGCGGCGATGTCGCGCAGCCTACTCAACCTAGCAGAGGAACTCCTTACTCCTCTGTGGTTCGAAACTGGAGCTTTTCTCAGTATATTCACGTGAGTAACGCGCTATTTTTGGTTTATATAGTATGTCTCACGATAGTTGATAAAAAACATGATAGGGTTATAATGATAATTTTTAGAATTAAAATATCATTCATAAATGGCCAATTTTTGAGTAAAGAATGGGTAATTAACGAGTAAATATAGAGTCTTTATCCGTTTTTACTCGAGTATTTAACCAAAAGATTTTTTCATTTTGTGTAGTGTCTCTAATTGGTCCGGAAAATTACCCACTGTACACTTATGTAGGAAAATCACATTTAAAACCTGGTATCACTGGTATCTGTCAACTGTCAGTGTTAATCCTGTCAAATGTCAGACAGACTGATATTGTGATTGTGCTGATTGCTTGTTGTTGAAGATTTGTATTATGATTATCGTAATAAATTGAAGACATAGATAATAATTTCTGCGCATTTATGGAAACGATGAACGTTTTACAGTGAATTAGTGTATTTATTTACAATAGTTGATCCGTAATACAAACAACTCTGAGACATTTTTAATGCAAAAACAAACTTGCACAAGATCACTCGAAAATACCAATTTATAAAACATGAAGCCTGCTTTTGGTGGACATTTAAACGAAATAAGGTTTATATGCATTGATAATTTCAAAGATTGGGGCGACATATATGCATATTTCTTAACCCATTTTCACGGTGACCATATCTGTGGCATTGACGATTTCAGTTTGCTAAGACTCTTAAAACGAAAGAACATATATATCTACACTTCTGAAGTGACTGTTGCAATTATAACAGCCAGGTACCCGCACTTGACGCCGCACTTGAAAAGTTTGAGACTTGGTAAGTTGATTTTGCATAATATTGTAAAGCCCTCGTAATGGTAAGCAATGGACGCCGCCCGTGGACACATGAAACACCAGAGGCGTTGCAAGTGCGTTATAGATCCTTCGGAATTGGGAATTTGAGGACTGTGGGGAATTCGGGGCGGGGAGACTAGGGTGGTAATTGAGCCTCCAGTAACCTCAATTACACGACGAAACACACTGCAAGGGTTTTGTTGACGTGGGACAAGCCCTCCACAACCTTCCAAAACCGCTGCAACTCCTGTAAGTCAGGATCTACAGTAGATACAACCATGAAAACACCGGGACACTGAAGTCTGGCGCGTCCCAGGGACATGAATAAAATTTTGGGCGATATTGAGTTATATATATACTCGACGGAGAAAAATTCGCTGATTCCGAATATATAATATAACTAAATATCGCCCAAAATGTCGCTTAAACCAAATCGTCCATTACCCCTCGGTATTATATGAGAAGAAAAAAACATTGCAAGGGTTGTTTCACATCGGTTTTCTGCTCGGCTGTGGTATCACTCCGGTCAAGCCGACTCTTTCATGTTGAAGCATGGCTCTCCCACACTTCTCACAATTTACACAATTCGGAGTTATTATGCATTTAAATTGTTCTGTTGAATCGCTATCAAGTCGCGGAGAACCTAACGGGTAACCGGGGCTCCGACTCGACGTGCAGGAGAAGGAACGGGGTGGTTTTTAGTCAGTAAGAGTCTGACACTCCCTCCCGCCTCACCCAGGTGGGAGCAGGCATTAGATGATTTTCCCCCCTTAAAAAAAAAAAACTTGACTGCCTCGTTGGCCGAGTGGTCGCAAGTGCGATTGCCGGGCAAGGGGTCTCGGGTTCGATTCCCGGGTCGGGCAAAGTATTACTGGGTTTTTACAAAATTCTCAGTAGTAGCACGGAGTCTGGAATTGTGCCCGGTATATGGCAATAGGCTCACCCCCTATTACATGGGACTCATAACATAAATAGTGAAAAGTGGGTGTTACATTGTACAGTGGCATAATGTGCACCTCTGCCTACCTCTTCGGGGATAAAAGGCGTGATGTTATGTTATGTAAAAAAAAAAAAAATCAGTTAAAAAAGTCCAAAGTCTAAATCTGCTGCGTAATTTTAAAGATTGGGGAAATTTACTTTGTTATAACCTACTATATAGAGACATAACACAGCATAACTGTAAATAAATTTGCCGCAAGAACTGATGAATGAATGAAATAGTAGCCATTAGCTTTTGTATAATAGTTTTTTAACAGTCTCCAGTTTAGTATCTCTTATGGGCTGTTAATGTTGCCTCATTCGAAACTATCGATGTCTATGCAATTTCACCTACTTTGCTCTTGTTTTCTTAGAGTAATATTTTGTTTTATGGTATAACATCACACCTTTTACCCCTGAAGGACTAAGCAAAGGTACACTTTATGGGACTTATTGCCACTGCACAATGTAACACCCACTTTGCACTATTTATGTTATGTGTTCCATGGAATAGGGGGTGAGTCTATGGCCATGTACCGGGCACACTACCAGCCTCCGTGTTGCTACTGAGAATTTTTTTTAAACCCAGAAATACTCTGCCCAACCCGGGAATCGAACCCGAGACCCTTTGCCCGGCAGTCGCACTTGCGACCATTCGGCCAACGAGGTAGTCATGTAACTATACAGGCATATAACTATATAGACTATTGTTATTCTAATTACAGGTCGCAATGCGTTATCAATACCAACCAGGGATAAGGAAGAGTTTCTAGAAGTTACAGTATTGCCAGCAGGACATTCATTAGGTTCTGTAATGTACCTATTTGAATACGAAAACCAGAAGATTTTGTTCACTGGCGACTTCAGAATATCGAAGAATGATGTTGCCAAGTATAAACATTTGCAAAACAATGGGGAGCCGATACAAATTGATGCTCTATATGTTGATACTACTTTCCAAGTAAGTATAAAGTCCAGTATTTGACTTGACAAGATTTTTATCATAGTATGGTTTTTGTACGGTGGCCAGCAGGTCAAATTATCTTTTACTAGCTTTTACCCGCGGCTTCGCTCGCGTCACAAATGGATAAAAGTAACCTATGTGACATATATCAATACACACAGCGCCATCTGTACCAATACTTTTGTTTTCCCTCGGGAATATCAAATTTTTCCGGGATAAAAAGTACCCTATTATTTTATCCGGACTTCTAACTTTACGTCTGCAAAAATTCAAAGCAATCGGTTTAGTAGTTACGGCGTGAAAGCGGAACAAACAAACAAACTCACTTTCCAATTTATAATATTAGTAAGGAAGTAAGAATATAGTGGCATAATGTGCACCTCTGCCTAACCCTTCGGGGATAAAAAGTGTGATGTTATGTTGTGTAATTTATTTCTTCCCCAGGATAAACCCTACATACCGAAGAGATCAGAAGTGGTCAGTAACTTGATACCGCATATCAACAAGTGGTTGGCGGAAAACGAAAAGAACAAGGTCGTTCTAAGTGTGTCAGCCATGTTTGGCTACGAAGGAGCCTGCAATCAAATATATGATGAAATCAAAATCAAAGCTAATGTTAATGAAGACGATTGGGCGATTTATAGGTGAGATTGTAAAATTATTATCTTCTGTGTCGTGTTCGCAAGGAGGTCTAAGACTTCCGAAGACCCGTTTCTCGATTATGAGGGTGCGGTTTCGAAACCTACCAACGGCAAGTACCAATGTGACTTTTTCCGAGTTATATGTACTTTCTAAGATTATTTAGACACCAATGACAAACAGTCGAACACCAGAGGCGTTACAAGTACGTTACCGGCCTTTTGGGGATTAGGTGTTTGAGGATCGTTGTGGATTCAGGAATTGGGGAGATAGGGGAAGGGGAGGGTAATTGGGCCTCCGGTAACCTCACTCACACGACGAAATATAACGCTTCAGTTGTTTCACGTCAGTTTCCTGCTCGGCCGTGGTATCACTTCGGTCGAGCCGGCCCATTCGTGCCGAAACATGGCTCTCCAACACTTACAATTTACTTTTTTATTTACAGACAATTTCCAAAACAAATATATGGCGTCACAAATGAAGAATCAAGGATCGCACTCAGGAAAAAGAATAAGGAACGAATTCCGAAACACACACTAGATGTAGTGTTTTCTGCATTTAGCTGGAGATCACCAAATTTAGACGAGAAATTTTTAGTAAAAGAAGGTTTACAGCGAATAAAAGTTTGCTATTCGACGCACTGCGGTCGTGACGAACTCATCCATTTTATCAACTATTTAAAACCTAGAAGAATCAAAGGATTCCCAGAAGATTTAAAAGAAAACAATTCTAAATTGTCATTTTGTTCTATATTTACGAACAAGGATAGTGACGCGAACGAAAATTTCGATATTTCACCGAAAAAACGAAAAATCGTTAGGGATAATGATGACAAAGAAAATTGTAAGAAAAGTGATGTTGTTAAACGAAAATTGGCTGACGTACTGGATTGGTGATAATTGGCCACTGCTGACCAAATACCTCTTCTCACACGGAGGAGGTTTGAGCATTACTCACCACGCTTGCTCAATGCGGGTGTGCGATTTCAAACTTATAATTAGAAATTATAAGTCCAGGTTTCCTCACGATGTTTTCCTTCACCGTTTGTCAGTGGTGTCTAAATAATCTCATATATATATATATATATGTACTTTCTAAGATAAAAAAAATTCTAAGATAAAAGCTCCAAAATTGATCTCCTTTAAATTCTCTTAGGTTTCTTTCCGAGCTATATATATATATATATAGCTCGGAAAAAGGCATCTAAAGAAACCTAAGACCTTTTTCTGAAAGTGCAGGCCCACGAAAAATAATGTAGCCATTTTTTATGGGATTAACCGGTAAACGAGCAGATGGTTCGCCTGATGGTAAGCAATCAGCACCGCTCATAGACACCTGAAACACCAGAGGTGTTCAAGTGCGTCACCAGCCTTTTGGGAATTGGTAATTTGAGGATTGTAGGGGATTCGGGGATTGGAGAGATTGGGGAGTGGTGGGTGAGTGTAATTAGACCTCCTGTAACCTCACTCAAACGACGTGAAACAACGCAATTCTGCTCGGTTGTGGTATCACTCCGGTCGAGCCGGCCCATTTATGCCAAAGCATGGCTCTCCCACATTTGGTATAACTTCTTCATCTTGGATCCTACAACTTTTACGCTATATTAATAACTAGCTACTTCCGCGCGGTTTCACACGCTCTGCTCAGCTCCTTTCGGTCGTAGCGTGATGTTTTATAACCTATAGCCATCCTCGATGAATGCACAATCCAACACAAAAAGAATTATTCAAATCAGACTTGTAGTTACGGAGATTATCGCGTTCAAACAAACAAACAAAAAAACAAACTCTTCCGCTTTATATAATGGTATAAGATTGCTACAAATGGCTAGTTCTAACGATACGTACCATTTTTTTTCATTGGCTGGCACTTTCAGAAATCGTCAAAATTATGGAGCCGAAATCGCAGACCATCATGAAGCATCTCAATAAACTAAAAAAAAATTAGGCCTATGTACAGTCAACACAGCTATTTACAATGCGACTAGAAAAATAAATATTGACTCAGTACTTAGTATTGACTCAAAATAATGTTTTGACTGATGAAATGTATTTAGAAAATTAATTGAAATTTCGACTGTGATTGTATTTATAAAAAAGAAAATATTTATGTATATAAGTATTTTATGTAAGTAAGTATTTTATGCAAAGGTACCATTTTTATGGATTGTCAATATGAATTTTTTTTTTAAGGGGGGAAAATCATCGGATGACTGCTCCCGCCTGGGTGAGGCGGGAGGGAGTGTCAGACTCTTACTGACTAAAAACCACCCCGTTCTTTCTCCTGCACGTCGAGCCGGAGCCCCGGTTACCCGTTAGGTTCTCCGCGACTGTCAATATCCATATGTGAGCACCATGTTAGGCTATAAGATATTTTTTTTGTTTTTTTTTTATTTTAGTAAGTTTTGTAATTTGTATAATCCGTCAAGCGTGTCTTTGCATTGTTCTTACATATGCGTACAGTATTGAAATATGTATCAGAGACATTGTAGAACATACTTTTTTAAAAAGAGTAACGAATGGAGTTTCTTGCTCGTTCTTCTCCATTCGAATCTACATTTTGGAATGAGCACTTAGCTTCACCTAGCTTCACTGACGGACAGACTGACAGACTATTATTTATTTTATATTTGTTGACGTTTCAAAAGTACCAAATTATGGTTTAATTGAAATATATTGACTAAAGGTTTCTTGTCTAATCACTGCAGCTGTCAAATATTAGTCGTCCAATGGTATGGACACTACCTTATTCCCTATTAGACGAAGAACGAGAGTTATATGTGGGAATACTGAAACGTTACTCAATTTTAAGTCGTGCTTAAGTATAGTTCTGTCACCACTAATTCTTTGTAAAATGACAGAGATGGCACGATATTTGAGCACGACTTAAAATTGAGTAACGTTTCAGTATTCCCGCAGTAGTTGAGCAAAAATACGTTAGTCACAATTTGTCATTAATTGAACAAAATAATTGAATTGTAAAAATGTCTAAAAAGAGAACAGGGTATTTTTTGTATGTACTGTACATAAAATGATAAAAAATTTAATAGGTTTCATTTTGATGCTTTCTCAATATTGTTTTTTATAGTGTGGACCTTTTTGTCCAATTGATAATTGGGTACTCACCAACTAGTCAAATTCAATACTTTTTTTTTTCGAACTGTCAAAAACGACACTTTTCTATGAATTTTGTACGAGACTATGTATTGTGACGTCACGTTTTTTTAGCGTCAAACAGCATAGTTATTTCTTAAAAATTTGCTGGATAATTACTAAAATTTGTTCATAAAATCAATTAATGAAAGTGTGATTATTTTTTTAATATTTTATTGTATTGAGCAGTCGAAATGATTTATTTTTGATTAAGGCAAGTATCCAATTAGTTAATGGATAGTATCAAAACATTGGACATTGAAATTGGGATAGTCAAGTGCTTAGATAGACAACTGATGTGCTTGGACGAACAGTCCTCACGCTACATTTTAACACCAAGGCCACTTTAGTTAGTATGTGCTTATTTTACGTTAAACTAGATAAAAACGTTACCACGTTCGCTCTGATTGGCCGACTCCAATGAACCACCCAATCAGATCACTGAACGCAGTCACCGAACATAAAAAAGTGTGTTCGGATATTGGTACCAAAGATTTTTTATTATATTTTTTTTATGCTATTCTTTTAATAAAATACAGATACCTACAATTCTAAATATATCTTGAAGTAAGATTTTGCTGTTAAAACCTATTTGGTGCATAATTAAGTGTTGTACAAGTAATTATAATACTTTTTTTAAATAAGTATTGCTCAATAAATATATTTTTTAAATGAAAGTTTTTTATTCTACTTGTTTTTTAAAATTGGCTATAGTAGATACAGCCAATTCATTTAGTATGCAGGTAACAATATAAAGATTGATTCGGTACAGAGACAGTAACCATTGGTTGACAAGTTTACTACATACTCGTATTCACGTCAAAACGGCTGAAGGGATTTTTTTTAAGGGAGGAAAATCGCCTGGGTGAGGCGGGAGGAAGTATCAGACTCTTACTGACTAAAAACCACCCCGTTCCTTCTCCTGCACGTCGAGCCGGAGCCCCGGTTACCCGTTAGGTTCTCCGCGACTCCAAATCGGCATCGGCCCTGTTGGGCCCCATCTGTGGTGGTCTGATGGCTCTTTGAGGCGCGCGCGGAACTCTCGGCGCCGTACACTCGGGACAGTTTCTAGGACAGGGAGCCACCCATGCTCGCCGTCCGCAGGCCCGCGCTTACGGTGGCCAGAGATCGTCCCGCGATCCCAGACGCCCGGAGTGTCCTTCGCGATGGCTGGGTTGCAAGGAGGCAGCGCTTCGCTACCTCACGCGTCCCGCCTCCTCCTTAACTAGCATAACTGCTTCGCAAAAGGAGGAAAAAAGAACGGCTGAAGGGATTGTGATGAAATTTGGACGAGTTTGATTTACGTTTAAAGTATTCGAAACGAGACCGCGTTCGGCGCTCTGATTGGTTGCTTCAATGGCGCCGGCCAATCACAGCGCCGAACGCGTACTCGTTTCGAATACTTTCAACGTAAATCAAACTCGTACAAAGGCCTCTGAACAAACAGACACAGACTGGCGTTTCGCATTAATGCGAGAATAGTAAGATTTAGATTGCATGATGTATCGACCATAAAAAATTAAATTAAAATCGTGTATGGCCGTGTACATATCCAAGCAATTAATTCCTAATTAACTCATTAAGTTGTACAGTTTAAAGCTGATTGTGATGTTTAAGAAATTACTTCGAATATTTTAAAAGGAATCGCTTTCATGACTCTGTAATTGATCGTCAAAACGAAAAATAAAATGATTACCTTTGTGTTGTATATTATTCAATTTATTCTCGTTGGTTGTGAGTATATTTTATAAGTGTCTATTTGTTTCATCCTCGATAATTACTTATATTTGTGAATAAAATTCATAAGAATATGCATTTTTTTGTGGGATAAACGAGCAGAAGGATCACCTGATGGTAAGAAATCAATGGACATACGGAATACTAGAGGAAGTTACGAGTGCGTTACAGGCCTTTTGGGGATTAGGAATCTGAGTATTATTGGGGATTCCGGGATTGGGGAAACACAGCGCAAGCGTTGTTTCACGTCGGTTTTCTGTGAGGCCGTGGTATCACTGTGCACAGAATCAAAACCGTTTATGGGAGAGTTGTGTACCTCATATGAAAGCTTAAGAAATGTAGATGTTTTTTGTAAAAAGTGCTCAAAAAGTGTCATAGTAATTTTTGTGTTAGTGAAGCATATATAGCAGACTGCCTCGTTGGCCGTGGTCGCAAGTGCGACTGCAAGGGGTCTCAGGTTGTTTCCCGGGGTCAGGCAAGGTATTACTGGGTTTTAAAAGAAATCTCAGTAGTAGCACGGAGTCTGGAACTGTCCCCGTCCCCGGTATAGGTATGTATGGCAATAGGCTAACCCCTATTACATGGGACTCATAACATAAATAGTGAAAAGTGGGTGTTACATTGAACAGTGGCATTAAGTGCCGTAATATGCAACTCTACCTCCTTCGACGATAAAAAGGCGTGATATTATTAAAAATATCATGAGATCATCATGAGATTTATTCGTCATAAATCTCATTTCCAACCCGAGACCAAGGGGTCTTGAACCAAGACCAAGGGGTCTCGGGTCGAAAATCCAACTCGAGACCCCTTGTCCGGCAGTCGCACTTGCGTCTACTCGGCCAACGAGTCAGTCAAGGTTTTTTAAACGTAGTTTACGTATATTTATTTTTAGATATGCAACAAGACGTCCGTGCTCTCAAATCTGATGCCGTCCAGTAAGTATTACGTTTTCGTTGCTAATAATTTTTATTTATTTATTTATTTATTTATTTATCAGAAAACAGCTAATTTAATCTTCACAGGTACTTAACCTAATACGACAAAATTAGTTACATAATATAAAATTTCAAAATTCAAAATTACATTATACATACGAAAGTTACATTATACATAAGAAATCTAAACATAATATCACAAAAAAGAAAATACCACTACTAAAGTTTTAAATACTAACAATACCATAGGTGGCTCTTGTGAACTCATTCAGCGAACAAGTAAACAAATCGACCCTACTCGACACTGCGCTGAGCGTGCGCAAGGCGCGCGTCAGTGGCGCTCGCTGCAGCAGGTTGGTGCGCGCGCTCGGCACCGCCAGCAGCTGCGGCCGCCGCCGCCTACCCACATACCCATCCGGCACACACATGCGTAGCTCCATAAGGATTCTAGAGTTAACTAATTTACCTCGCAACACTTTAAATAAATAAACAGCCAGTGCCACTTCCCGCCTAGTCTCCAGTTTGAAGTATCCCACCATACCCAACACAAATAATGTTGGGTATAATAGAGGATAGCCGGGGTATACCTTATATATTTTTGAATACAAAAATCGGGTGAATTTATTTTGTATCCTCTCAACCATGAATTTGTATTTGGCTTCACTTGGTCCCCATATTACTGCACAGTACTCGAGGTGAGATCTAACCAAGGCGTCATACAAAGCCCTGAGAGCCCCCACATTATTAAAGTCATTAGCTTGTCTCAAGATGAATCCCAAATTTCTAAATGCTTTCTTACTAACCTTAATAATATGACCTCTGAATCCTAAATCGGCCGCAAAATAGACACCAAGGTCTCTTACTTCCATCACTCTCTCCAAAGTTTCACCCTCTAACTTATAACAGTGGTGGTGTGGACTGCGCGCACGAGTGAAAGACACCACTGAACATTTGGAGACATTGAAATAAAGTCTGTTATCATGGCTCCATTTAACAACTCGGTCCAAATCTTCTTGGAGCATATTATGGTCAGTAGTGTCTCTCATCACACGGAATAATTTTAGGTCATCGGCAAAAAGCAAACAAGATGATTCCTGGACTACTGCTGGTAAATCATCAATCATTAATATGAAAAGAAAGGGACCCAAGTTGCTGCCCTGACTAACGCCTGATCTCGTATAATATGGCTTAGAAAGGCATCCTCCACAGTCGACAAACTGACGCCTGTCCCGTAAGTAACTGGCAAAGAACCTCAACGTATGTGGCGTGCAACCCTTGCCAGCTAACTTCGAGAGCAAGACATCATTATCGACTGTGTCGAACGCCTTCCTGAAGTCAAGATACGCGACGTCCACTTGTAAACCTGCATCCACCGATGGTACTAGTGTTGACATAAGATGAAGCAAGTTTCCTGTGGTTCCACGTCCCGGACAAAAGCCATGCTGAGCATTAGATAAGTGAGCCTTAACCTGGTCATAGAGGGAACTGTGCACAGCTGCTTCAAATACTTTGGCAGGAGAAGACAGGACAGCAACAGGTCTATAATCGCTCGCCTCTGTTCCGCCACTTCCTTTTGGGACTGGCACGACGCGCGTAAGTTTCCACCTCTCTGGAAAGGTCGAAGACGAGATACAAATATTAAAGATGTGTAACAGTGGTTCACAGAATGCGCCGCGACAGTCCCTCAGAATGAACGGTGGTATGCCGTCCGGTCCCACGGAGCGCTTAGATGGTAAACGGGCGAGCGAGCGGTACACCGCTGCTTTGTCTAAACGGTCAAGTTGCGCTCGTGCTGCACACCGTGAGGCCGTGGCACTGGCTGCATCTACGTCTAACGTTGCAGGCTTGGGGCTATATACTGAGTGGAAAAATTGTGCAAACTCTTCGGCGCATTCTTTGTCAGTGAGAACTAACCCGTCTTTAACTAACTTATATTTATTAGAAGTCCCTTTTTTGGATCTCACATAATTCCAAAAAGCCTTTGGGTCTTTGGCTAAATGGTTCTGCACTCGGTCCCGATAACGATCATGAGCCAACTTTGTTTCAGTCTTTACTCTCGCTCGGCACAAAGAAAACGCCTCGTAATCGGTAACTGATTTACTTGCCTTATACTTCTTATGCAGATTGTATTTTAATTTAATACTACTAATAATATCGGATGTATACCATACTGGATACGTGTACCTATTGTTATTTTTTAATAATTGCTCGTGAGGAGTTTTAAAGGAATAGGTCGGCAAATGAGCAGATGTAGCACCTGATAGTAATCTGTCGGCGTCGCTAATAGTAGGGGAGCCCATGAAGGGATTTCGATAGTTACTCGAGCGCCTCAGATACCTAGTGTCATGTTGAATATATGCGTATACGTGGGTCGTGGTGGCCAGGACGTTTTTTTTTAAGGGGGGAAAATAATCGAATGACTGCTCCCGCCTGGGTGAGGCGGGAGGGAGTGTCAGACTCTTACTGACTAAAAAACCACCCCGTTCTTTCTCCTGCACGTCGAGTCGGAGCCCCGGTTACCCGGAGGTTTAGGACGCCCGCTTCTCATGCATGAGGATGCAGGTTCGAAACCTACCACCGGCAAATACCAATGTGACCTCTTCCGAGTTATATGTACTTTCTAAGATTATCTAGACACCACTGACAAACAGTGAAGGAAAACATCGTGAGGAAACCTGGACTCATAATTTCTAATTATAAGTTTGTAATCACCAACCCGCATTGAGCAGGCGTGGTGATTAATGCTCAAACCTTCTCCGTGTGAGAAGAGGCTTTGCTCAGCAGTGGGCATTTATAGGCTGTTGATGATGATGATGATGAATATATCCACGATATACCAAAGTGCTTACTCTTGAATCAAATTTCGATCGATCGACATTGGTATTGTGAACTTTGTACTCTTGAGTTGCAACACTAGCGCTCATTGCATCCGTATTGCGTGAATATTGAATGAACTAAACAGTATTGAGTTTGGCTTTATATTCCGTACTCTGAATGTAATTTTAGGAGCTACGTTAGGGATTGTATAGTTTTGACAATGGATTATTATTGTAATTTTATTGAATTGAAATTATCCTAACTTTTATTTTCTAAAATTAATAATAACTATTACTAAATTAAATATATACAATACAAGATAAAAATAATATATACAACGTAAAATATATAAAAAAAAGTTTAAACTAAAATATTTACACCTTAAAAAAAATAATAATAAAAATAAATCATAAGGCATCAAAGAAAACATTTTCCTCATCGCTACCGTGAGGTAGGGTGCCCAAAAGACTGGCAGCATTGCCACGTTGAATGGCAATGCTTAACCTTTGCCCAAGGTAGTAGCCAGCCCTTCGATCACCTGAAGTGTCAACCATCCTCCTTACAATATCTTTGTAAAGAAGATGTGCACTTGGGCCCCACGGCCCTAAAGTTTCAACCCCAAACGGTTCGAAAGCATAATTGCCAATCAGGCTATTATACTTTCGCCGTTTGAGGTTCTCGGCAGCAGCAGCGGCAGCACCGGCTCGACACGCTGAGCTTGGAAGATGGGATGGCGCCAGAGTATCAACGCAAGTGGCGTCCCATACTAAAGCCCTACCCATCTTCCAAGGGAATAATGACATACCGTCGGGTCTCTTGCCATCGTCGCGTACCAAGCCATTAGGTTCTAAAGTAGCTGGCACGCCAACGGAGGCAAGAGCTCGACGAATTATGTCATTAATACTTGCGTGTCGAGCAAAACGGCCCGCACTACGGCTACATGACAAGCCGTGGTGTCCAAGGCTGTTGACATCTTCACCACAACGACAACGATGAGGTGAACAAAATGAAGCTCCAAGCCTTAAACAAATTGCAGCGCGGAACGTGGTGTCGTCCAACAAAGTACCTAGGTTAGACGAAGGTAAAGCAAGAAGCCATAACCCCGACTCCCACTCACCCACAGCCAAAAGGCGAGCTCTCTCTGCAGTTGAACAAGAGGAGTTCAAGAGATTTTCGCTCACTTTTCTGCAGAGCGGCTCGTCCCATTGTCTCTGGGAATGTGATTTGACGGGGGGGTCAATATTTGGGCAAGCGATTTTCCAAGCATTCACAGCTTCCACTAAACATGGTACATCAAAATTAACCAGTGATTGAGAAAGAATTTTCCTGGTTAATTCTTCAGTACCAAGGGCGGAAGATATGAAAGCCGGTAGGCTTACACTGGAAATTTTACGGACGCCAAGCCCACCCATGCGGACAGGCAGAGTGGCTTGAGTCCAAGCTCGGTCATCAAGAGCCACATTCAAAATTAAGGACAGGGTTCGCCTAATGATTTGGTCAATTTTTTCTAAAAGAAGGGGTGCAGACCAGAGGTGGGTCGAGCGCAAAAAATACATAAATTTGGGACCGAAGCAGCAAAACCGAATAATAGTATAAGCCGAATGCATTCTAATGTGATATAGTTTTTCTGAAACGACAGAAAAATTTTGAATTTTTTCTTCAATAAAACTTGGAAAAGAGTCCTCGAAGACGGGCGCACCTAGGAGGCGAAGTGAACATTTATCAACCACCGAGATATTAGGTGCAAAAGTATTAAATTTTGATAAGATCTGTCTGTCGGTAGAGTCATCTAAAAATATCTCACACTTGGAAAAATTTAGGTCAAGGCCAATAGCATGAAATTCATTTTTTAAAAATATGAAATCATTTAATACTGTATCCGCATCGCCTCCCAGAGTACCGTCATCGAGGTACCAAACATTAAATTTGGAATTTAGCTGTCGAATAATAGGATTAATAGCCAGACTAAAAATCACTGGTCCAAGGGGATCGCCTTGTTGACAGCCAACGGCTGATTCCAAAAGGTTGTCCTGATATAATAATTTGGTAGGATGTCTATAACATTGCCAGAGAAAACTGAAAATTTGGGGTACTTCTTTTTTAACTTCTGTCAACATAGTATCCCTATTGACCGAATTAAAGGCATTCTTTATGTCAACCTTCAGGATGATATCACCTTTCCTGGAATTCAGGTAGGTCGACAACGCATGCACGGCAGCCTCGCAGCCCCCTCTCGATCCATACCCGAGTTGGAGGGGCTGGAATTTTTCCGAAAGGTAATTATTATAAAATTTGCAACAAATCTTGGCTGCCATGCGACGATAAGTTGTTCCCACGGCAATGGGACGAATACCGCCATCCTTCTTGCGTAGGGCACATAGATTGGCCCC